TTGTACAATGTAGTTAGGTCCCTCCCTGAAGAGCAGTAACAGAACTGAGATATTAAAGATGAGGAGGAATCAAGAAGATACAGCTTTCTAGAATCTGGAGATGCTACCTAAGTCAAGCCACCATCCTGTTTCACTTACACATCCTTCCCTATGAACGGTTCTCTACACTGAAGCCCTGGTGGGCCTTCTAACAATATCAGGGGCTAGCAAGATGGCTCAGTGGTTACAGGTTCATGCTTCTAAGCCTGATGACTCTGCAGCCCACATGATGGAAAAACTCAGGTCATGTCATTCTTCACAACCTTGTAGGGGCTTCCCATTTCACTCACAGTAAAATCCACAGTCCTGCTCTGAGACCATATGTGATCCCGCTCTTGGTTATCTTTGTGACTGTCTTCCATGGTGTACATTCTAGTTTATTCTGCTCCAGCCACACTAAGCATATTCCTTGAATGGTCCATAAGCTCCAGCCTCAAGGCAAGTGCACTTCCTTCTTCTGCCAAGTTTCCTCTTTCTTGAGATACATGGAGGGGTAACTCCCCTTTAATTCGCATAAATATTTTTGCTCAAGGGCCGCTCCTGAGAGGCCTTCCATGACCATGTAAAATGGCACTACTCTCTCGGGTGAAATACTTCATTAAATTTGAAGATTGTATGTATGATTTAAAGTGGTTTGACATATCATTTTTCTTTAAATGTGTTACATTTCCATTGTAAAAAAAGATATAAAATATGAAAAACAAAGTTACTGAACATTTCTATTTCATTGCACATGACAGTCAGTAGATAAAACTTCTGTTTGGCAATATGTTTATCATTTTTCGTAATTTAAATCATAATTATTTTACATCCTTTTTTATTTCATTTTCACTAATTTCAAGCAGTTCCCACTGCCATTAACTGTGTTTTGAGATATTTTAAATTTGAATAATTTAACCTTCCATGTGAAGGACTTACTCATATAGTAAGGAATAATTTTCAATCTTCCATGAGATAAATTTCCACAATTTGTTAATTATTTTTCTATCTTGTTTTCCTAATTAGCATATATGCTATAAGTATAATATACCCTTTCTTATTTTATCATATAATTTCCAACTAGACATTTTATGAAGTATTTTACTAGTTTGGTAGACAAAAGTAATTTGCTTCAAAATTTTACTTATGTAGAGAAACATTTTTTCATTGTTTATTGTCGTTTATGCTTCTTTGTGAGTTGTTCAAGTATAAAAGGCTATTTCTGTAATTTAGAAACATAAATTTTTAAAAAAATAAATTCTTAACTACAAATAGTTAATCTTAGAAACTTTTTTTCTTTCTTTTTTTTAAATATAATTATTGATTCTTTGGGAATTTCACATCATGTACCCCAATTCTGCTCATCTCCAAGTCCCCCCATATCTGTCCCTCACCCTTGCAGTGTTGCCCCAAAAAGAAATTTTTTAAAAAAGGGAAAAAATTCAAACTAAACTGAACAAAACCTCCTCGTTCCTCCACCTCTCCTGCCTCTGCAGTGCCTCCTCACGGGCGCTGTGGTGTCTCACACGGGACCCGTTTGTCCAGTCAGCTTTATTTGCAGATGTTCACTGCAGTGGGTCACTGGTCTGCTTCAGGGCCTCTGGCTTCTGGCACACCATCACTGGACCCTCACCAGAACTCAGATATCCCGCAGCCGCCCTGAGTCATGGAGGTCCTGTGGGTATTGTTCCACAGGACCTGTCCCTTCATGCGTTCCAGCAGGACACAGATGAGGTAGATGTTAGGGTGGGTCAACCCAAGGTTCTGGATGTAGGCCTGGGTGGTAACTGAGCTGCTCAGTCCAAGCCACTGCGGCCACCCTCCTCAGGTAAAGAGAGGAGCTAGCTCTCGTAGGCCCATGCTATCAGGGCCAGTTCTCCCATGTATGAGGGGTGAGGCCATCTGTCCCAGGTGTGGGGACCAGCTCTTCTGTGAGGGTTAGGGCCAGCTATCTTGCTGCAGTGTCCAGCAAGGGCCAGGGCCAGCTCTCTCAGGGCTAGTGAAGGGTGGGGTCAGCTCAGCATGGCACTCATATTTTATCATGCATAGTTCCACGCACAGGCATTGGACTTCAGCACAGACCCCAGCTGGTCCTCAGCAGCAGCTAGGCCTGGATGTCACCGTTGCCCCAGTGGCAGCACAGGCCACTCAGATCAGTGTGTCCCCAGTGGCAGTGTGGCTCTCAGACACCAACATGGCTGCAGGTGGCAGCCCATATCTCAGGCATTTGCAAAGCCTTCGATGGCAATAGGAGCCATGGACATCATCCCAGACTCTGGATGCAGGAGGGCCATGGATCCAGACATGGCCCTCATCTGTAGCTCTGGCTCAGATGTCACCATGGCAGTGGGTAGCTGCACAGACCACTCAGATCTGTATGGTCAAAGCTGTAGTTTGGCCCTCAGGTGCCAGTGCAGTCTCAGATGGCACAGGACCCTGGGTAGCAACAGGAACCTCGGATTGTAGATGTAACCAACTGTCTTATTAAATAAGAAAGACAGAGCCAATGTAAAGAAGAAAGCCAAGAGGTCAGAGCTCAGAGCTAAAACCTTACCCTTCCTCCTGTGGTGGTCCTACCTCTCTGAAAGAGACCTAATCCTGTGTGTCTGTCTTTACATAGTCTTTCTGTTCTGCCTTCTCATTGGTTGTAAACCCAAACAAGTGACTGCCTCATCATTTCCTGTAAGTACAGCCCTCCAGGTCTTAAAGGCATATGTCTCCAATGCTGGCTGTATCCCTGAACACATAGAGATCTACCTAGCTCTTCTACCAAGTGCTGGGATTATAAGCGTACGCCACCACCGCCCTGCTTTCCTATGGCTTGCTAATAGTAGCTCTGACTCCCGGGCAACTTTCTTTATTAACATACAATTAAAATCACATTTCAGTACAAATAAAATACCACCAGGGTCAACTCAGACCCTGGCTGCTGTAGGACCATGGACCCAGACATGGTCCTTGGCAGCAGCTTGGACCCAGACAACATTGTGGCCCCGGGTGACAGCAGGCTACCCAGATTTGCATGGCCCCAGCTACAGCATGGCTCTCAGACTCCAGTAAGGGCACAGGTTAGGGCCCAGACCCTGGGCTTCTGTGTGGTCTTTGGTGGCAACATGGGCCACAGATCCCAGCTGCAGTAGGACCAGGGATCCATTCATGGCCTTTGGCAGCAACCCTGGGCCCAGATGTCACCATGGCCATTGATGGCAGCCAGACTACCCATATCAGCCTACTCTATCATCAACTTCACCTCTTCCATTTGGCCTCTTTCCACAGCACATGAACATCTGCTTCTCCTTCTCTCCTATTTCTCCACCCCATATTTGCTCATCATAATGGCCTCCACCTGGTGGCACCAGGCAGACCCATGGATCCTTCGCATCAGCCAGGCCTTGAGGACCCAGGCTGGCCTGTGTGTGGTTAGCACCAGCCTGAGCCTAATGGTATCAGGCAGGCCATGGACCTTAGGAACATTTTGATATTACTAAATATTTGAGAATTTTGTTCACAATATAACTGGAAAATGACTCTTGAATTATTAGATTAAAAAAAGGCACAACTTGAGGATTTCTGTATGTGTTTCAGTATTTACTAAAAGCATGTGAAGCCAGTTTCTGTCTAAGAGTGTAACTGAACAGTAGCGTAACATCCTAGCATACAAGAGGCCCCAGGTTCTCTAACATTGCCCCAAAGCTTCATCATTAGATACTAGAACAGAAGGATAGAACATGCTTTTATTTCATTTTGCTGAAGTTAAAGCCCACACTGAAGATGTGCTTTGCCATCATCTTTACCGTGCTTGTTTGGCTTTGGGCTTTACCCATAAACTTCCTAAAGATTTTGCAAGGCTGGTCTGCAGAAGGTAGGCACAAAGTGTTCTGCTGGAAGTCTTGCAGAAGCCAGGCTTCTCTCCTCTTTACTGGAGCTCCCGGGGGCCCCTTTTTCTCACCTTCCAGATCTAGAATTGTCCCATTAGGGGATCTAGCAGGAGATGGTGGAAGGCCAGACTTGCTTTCAGACACCTCTCTTGCTCTTGTAGAAATATCTTTTCTCCATTTCTTATCTGTCCCTATTTTTTCATCACCTCCTTAAAATGTTTGTCAAGTGCTATACAGGTCAGATTTTATTACAAAGAATGATGTAAGCTCATATTGTAGCCCATTCTAGTTGTAACTTTTAGGAGGAAGGGTCTTGTGGGATTTTGTTTCTTTGGTTGGTTGGTTGGTTGGTTGGTTGGTGTTTGGTGAGTGGATGGTGGTTAGTGGTTGGTGGGTGGGTGGGTGGTTGGTGGGTGGTGGGTAAATTGGTGGTCAGTCAGTCAGTAGATGGTTTTTGGTTGATTTGTTAGTTGGTTAGTTGTTGGTTGTGTTGGTTGGTGACTGGTTAGTTGATGGATGGTGGCTAGTTAGTGGTTGGTTTTTGGTTGGTTGGTGGGTGGTTGGTTAGTGGTGGGTGGGTGGATGGGTGAGTGGTGGTTAGTTGGTTGATGATTGGTGGCTGGTTAGTGGTTGGTTGGTAGGTGAGTAATTCATTGGTTTGTAGTTGGTTGGTGGGTGGGTGGTTGGTTGGTTAGTGGTTGGTTGGTTGGTTGGTGGGTGGGTGGGTGGTGGGTGGGCAATTGGTTGGTGGTTTGGTGGGTGGTTAGGTGGTTGGGTGGTGAGTGGGTAGTTGGTTTGTAGTTGGTTGGTTGGTGGTGTTCAGTTGGTTGTTGTTTAGTTGGCTGGTTGTGTTTAAACATAATCTCCTGCTCCAGAGGTTGCTTATGGTCCATAGCATTGTGTAAGTATGTCAACTCTGGCTCTGTCTTCAGTTGTGTCAGGTTACACGTACCTAACATCATCAAGAATTCATATTTTATATGTGATCAGCCAAATGGAACTTCGAGCATCACAACTTGGAACCTATGGCATAACCATTCATGTATTGTATTTCACAGGTTTGTGATGGCATGTTCGGCCTGGAGGTCATGTCCGGAGACTGATTCAGAAAAGCTAGTTCAGATGATTTTTCATGCTTTCCACGATATGATACAGCTGATGAACACCGCTCATCTTTAGAGACTCAGAGACAGACACAGATGAACTTGGTACAGAGAGCAGATGGAGGAATGACCTGGAAGGAATGTTCACTTAAAGGAGACTTGTTAAGTGTGGTGATTAGTAGAGTCTTGCTCTCTAGATTTATTCTACCTTAGAAGGTGGAAACATCTTAAAACTTCTGGTGTTGCAGCAGCAATGTGAAGTCAGACATAGTGAATACAGAATGTCTGTGCAATATCTAATAGAAGCCTCAACAATGCAATCTCACTATTGTAACAATGCAAATCCTACCCTAACTTTAAAATACCCTTCTTGGCACATGTATAGACTGCAAGTCCTCTGTGAACATAATTGTAGACTACTTTTCAAGCACTTTTAATATTTTCTAATTGCCAGAGGTTATATAAAGCACATGGTTAGATGCTAATTTCCTTGAAGTCAGTGCCTTTCACACCCAGTACAGGGATACAAGCCTTTTGGATTTCATGGGAAAACCACTACAGTTCAATAGTGATCTCAGAAAGCTCCTTTGAACAGACAAAAGAATCAAGTTGTATTAGAAGTATTTACATTAATACAGAAAAAAAATCCCAGCAAAACTCATATGGTACATTGTAATTCATTCTGTGAATACAAAATTAAGGCACTTCCATTTAAACCTAATTATTAGAGGTAGTGACTTTGAAAGGGTTAAATGTTGAATATTATTCTCAGGACTTTACAGTTGTTTCCCATTGATATTCAATTGTGTGGTTTATATTTTCAAAGAATAAAGTATCCAGAATCATATAGCTTCTCCTCTTGCATTTGAAAAGAATGATTCCTGGTTTTGTTTTGTTTTGTTTTTTGCATTTTCTGATATCAGTTAAATATTGTATAATAAACCACTTAAAAACTTAGTGTCTGGGCTGGAGATGGCTCAGAGACTAAGACCACTGGCTGTTCTTGCAGAAGACCCAGGTTCAGTTCTGTGTGGATGGTAAATCTGGGAACACCTGTAAATGACAAGTGTGTGCAATTCATTTTTGAAGTTAATGTGAGAACTTTGCAATCAGTAAGAAAGAAATTGGAAAAGTCTGCCTTTGAAAAGGGACCTCACATCTTGTAGTGTGTACCCAGCAGACAGAAGCCATCTTTGGAAATGAACTGTTTTAGACTGGTCTAGAGATCAGAACCTCTCTGAAGCTACAGATATTACTGGCTTGGGTTAGCTACTTGTGACTCCAGCTTGGTCCAGCAGAATGTACAAATTGGGAGAATAGAACATTTGCCATCTGAGAGCAAGGACATGGTTGGCAGTGCGTAGAACTGAAGACAGGTGTCCCCTCTCTATGCCTGCCTGTTAGAGGACGTAGATGTTCCCTATGCTCTCAGTGCCTGCCATTCCCACAGCTACCTGCTGAGAGGATTGAACAGCTCAGTAGCTCCAGCCGTTGTCCTGACAGGTGTGCATAGCTGTAGAAAGGATGTTCCCAAGCTGTTGTTTTGGGGTTTGTTGTTTTGTTTGTTTTTTAAAGGTTTATTTTGCTTTTTTAGTTGAGTTTTGTTTTGAGACAGAGTTTCTCTATTTAGCCCTGGCTGTCCAGGAACTCACTTATGTAGATTAGGCTGACTTTGAACTCATGGAGATCCACTTATCCCTGAGCACTGAGCACCACAGCTTACTCTAATGCAGTTTTCCTCAGCTTTAGCCAATGCAGTTTTCCTCAGCTTTAGCCAGAGCCGTCTCCTGGAAGGGCAGGCACTACCACAAAAGGGGCAGAGATCACCACAATTCTTCCTGCGGCTGTCAACTTCCCCCTGTACCTTACTCAGGTTTCTAACTGACGGGGTAAGAGGAACGTGGTTTCCACTGCTTCTCTGCTCTCGGGTGTCTGAGGAGCCTTGACCAGTTTTGTAGCTCCAGCTGCCTCCTGTTTCTTGGCACGCACTGCAGCTGAGGGATTCAAAGGTAGAGGAAAGCGCCAGCCCCAACCATCACTCTGCCAACCCAAGCAGAGCTGAGTGGACCAGTGCCCAGCACCAGCCACAGTCCCGCTCCTGATGTGCACTGCCACTTCCGAGAGGAACACCATGGTACCCTGCAGTGTCCACAGTTCCTGCTGCCTCTCCACCATGTGTCAGCATGGGCAAGCATTGCAGAGGGAGGACTGTGTCCCTTGTCACCACCATCAACTTCTGTCCACATCTGTCCACGGGCCAGCTAGTCAGGGGAGTGCTGGAGTCCCTTCACCACCCTGAGGCGGCCAACACCAGACAGAGACGTGCTCGCAGCAGAGGTGGCATCAGCTGTGCTGGAGGAGACCCCCCCACTTCCACTGTAAGGTGAGCTACGCCTGAGCACCTCACAGCCAGAACCTGGACCACACCTCCCTGCTCTGTCAAGTGTCCCGCTTTCGATGCTCTGCAGAGACAATTCCACCAAGGTAAGCACTTTGTCTTCAAATGAAACACAGCTAAAGAAAACGTCTGAGACAACACTATGGTGCCCACCTGGAATTAAAGCCAACACCTATGGGAAATCAGTACCCCAGTGTACATTTTCAGGAGTAAGCTGCTAAGGGCAGCCACAGAGGAGACACTTCGTTTACCAGATGCACTAACCTCAGCAGCTGTGAAAGCACTGTAGAAAACAAGGCAGTGTGCCTCCAAAGGAAAACAACTCTAGGAAAGGACTTAGAGGGACTTGCAGGTACAAAACACAAGGTAAGGAATGGAGACTGGGAGATAGTGAAGTACTTGTGCAGCAGAAGAACCTGAGCTCAATCCGCAAGGCCCCTCAGTAATAAAAACGCTGAATGCAAAGGAAGGAAAGTTTCTGATTCAGAGATACACATTCGATTAAAAAAAAAAATCACATTCAAAAATAATAGAACTATACAAAACATAACATTAATTCTCTCAGGTAACACTAAAATATTTTTTAAATTAAATAGACTGATGAATAATTACACTCTGCCTTTTCTTTATAATTTTTTAGAAAAAAAAACAAACTTCTCTAAACAGTTCCATTTTGAAGAAGTTCCATTTTTACATAAACAATTCTGTAAAACAGTCCCATTTTTAACACAAAACAATTCACGAATCACCACAGTTAGTAAAGCATATATGCATACATAAAACTGCATCTTGAACCTAGGTAGAAAAAATACATTTCTCCATTTAAACAATTCCATTTTAACACAAATAATTCTATAAAACAGTTCCAAATCTTCACCATGGATAGAGTCTATATGCATAAGTAAGTTCAAACTGTACCATTGCAATGAAATCATTACTGTCCAACTCATTTCTTAAGTCACAAAATTCAAATAATAAATTCTGGTACCAGCCTTCCAAACATAAAGAAACCTATAACCAAAACCTTTTTGTAGTTTTTAA